GGTCCATCAGAGGGGAGTGAGAGACTGGGTGAGAGTGGGTGTCTGGCATCCAGCCACAATCAACCCACTACAGATTGGAAGAGACCACTCGTTATGAACTGACCATAACCCCCATTCCCTGTACCAATATGACAATGTTGGGGAGGAGGTGAAGAGGCTGAGAATGAGGAATGAAGTTGATCCTAAGAATAAGGGGAGGGTAGAAGGAAGTAGTATTAGTTTTGTCTCTGTTCCTCATAATCCTACTCTATTTTCAATAGGCAATAAATTACATTCATTTTCCCCATGTGAAGACAGTTTGGTCCATAACAGTAATGGCTGAGTGATCTCCCTGCCTTTATCTCAACCCATGAACTTTTCCACCCTTTCCCTGTTTATGGGTGAGAGTGAAGGAGCAGCTGGGTGGGGGTCTGGCAGCTGTCCTAGGTCAACCCTCCACAGCACATCCTCTAAAAATGACATGGTTGCAGCAAGCACAGAGCAGAACCTGAATTGTTCATTTCCATCACCAGCTCAGGTCTGATGACAGATCTTAAGCAACTCAGCTGGACACAACTCCTCAGTGAAAGGCCTTGAAAGGATGTGAACCACCACACTTCCCTTCTTTTCCTGCTGTAGCTTGTGCATTTCATCCTTTAACAAGAGAGTCCCAACTGCTTTCACAATAACACTCTGGAAGATCCATCTAATTCCCTATATCCCATGCAACATAATCCCTCAAAACCTCACGTACCACAAGACTCAGCAGGCAAAAAGAGCATCTCAAAGATGCTACCACACATACCTTATGCTACCACCTAATATCTAATCGAAACCTGACCTCTTTTAGTTTAAAACCACTCTTCCTTGTCCAATCACTATCTATCTATCCACCCATCCTTCTAAAAAAAAACCCTTTCCCTCTTCTTTCTAGGCTCTCTTTAGGTACTGGAGGGCTGCAATGACATGTGCCCAGAGCCTTCTCTAGGCTGAACAATGCCAACTCTCTCAGCCTGTCTCTATGGCAGAGGGGCTCCAGCCCTTGGGGCATTTTTGTGGCCTCCTCTGGACCCATTCCAGCAGGTCTGTGTCTTTCTTCTGCTCAGAACTCCAGAACTGGACACAGCACTCCAAGTGGGGTCTCACAAGTGTAGACTCAAGGGGCAGAATCACCTCTCTTGACCTGCTGGCCACTCTGCTTTTCATGCAGCCCAGGATGTGGTTAGCATTCTGGACTGCAAGTACACATTGACAGCTCATGTCCAGGTTTCATCCACAAGAACCCCCGAGTACTACTCTACAGGGCTGCTCTCAATGAGTTCTTCTCTGAGATTGCCCTGACCCAGGCACTGCACCTTATGGTTGGACTTGTTGAACTTCATGAGGTTCTTGTGGGCCAGCTTCTCAAGTTTGTCCAGGTCCCTCTGGATGGTCCTGTCCTTCTCTTGTGTCAAATGCACTGCTCAGCTTGGTGTCATCTGCAGACTTGCTGAGGATGCACCAGTCATTCACCCAATCCATTTGTATTCCTCTTCCTGCATCCCAGTATCCAACTGGGAGGCTACAGGAGAACACTACCTGTGCTGCTGATACCTTCCAGGTCTTTCCAAGGGATGTGAAGTCCATTTTGAGATTTCAGAGTTGCATGGCAGGAGCCTCATTGCACGCTATATGAAAGAGCAGGAAT